AGTGGTACAGGATTAATTCTCCTAGCCTTGCCTGCATTTGTTTCAAAACTAGAGTCTGTGCATTCTTTTGGGGCCCAATTTGATGGTCAAGCTATAGTTGATTTTTAATTCCTAAAAAGGCTTGTGTGTACTTCTGTATTACAGAGCTGCTTGCAGGGCTCAAACGAGCACTTTTCTATAGTTCTGCCCTGCATTCTGTGAATGTTACCAGGCTTCAGAATGATGTATAGGCTTTCTGCACTCTGTTTTGTTGTGCACTGTATATTGATAGTTGAAGTATAGCGAGTGTCCTCACACAATTGAGAACATTCGAGCAATACAGAGTGACTGTGTTAGCAGGTGAGGCGCAGTAGCTGTGCCCCCAGCCAACCAAGCCTCTGTGTACTAGGGCTTTTATCAAGGACTGTAATGTATATGATAAAAGCTTAGGTCCTGGGAAACTTCTAAGTTATAAAGAGAGTTACTTCTTATCAACTTGCATGCACCTCAATATTCACTTGCAATGCGTTACTGTGCACTGGGGATAGTTTGGCTGTTTTCAACCTTTTTTTTGGTTTTTTTTTTTTTTTTTGTTTAAAAAAAAACATATGGAAGGAGGGAGTGGAAGCATTTTAATACAGTCAGTGGAATGGTTTCCCGCTCAGGTAGCTGTAACTTAACATGTCCTCTCCTTTGGAATTGCTCTGGCCCCTTCAGTGCCTCATAGTATAATTTGTTACTACAAATATTAAAAATACTTGAGCTGAAAATTAATGGAATAGGTAAATGTTTTTCAGGAGATTTGGTTTTTTGTGTTTTCAACTTCTAATACTGGAGTTCAACTTAAATTTAGGTCACTAGTGACAAATGAGCTGACATTATAGACATGTTTTGGTTATAGAGATGGGCACATTGTTCCTGGATTAAATAGGCTGAGATTACCAGCCTATCTCATTTAGGACATATTTGGCAAATATTAAATTTTCCTTAATTGTTGACTCATTACCATCAGTGCTGTTACTGGAGGCCTAGGTGCAGGTGCAAAGAACAGAGCGGATCTAGAAAGAAAACTTTCACCTGCAGTTGAAGTTTCTTGGGTTTAAGATGGAAGCCACTTTGAAGGCATTGTGGCTAGATTTGTATTGTTGCTCTGTGCTTCCTCTCTGTTTTACTTTGATCTTGGCAATTTTGAGTAATACAAGTAAAGTGCTCAGTTAAGTTGTGTTGTCCTATGTAATGAAGACATTTTCCTTGAGATTTTGCTGATGTAAACTTGCTTGTGATGCTTATTCTAACCTGCAGGTAATCACTTGCAACAGGGTAGAAGAGAAAGGTTGCCTTTGGCCATATAGCCTTTGGCCTTTCTTATTCATTGAAAAGTGCACTTTGTCTCCCTTGTGAATATGAATCCCTGTTTTGCTGACTTGTCTCTTAGATATATTAAAGAACAGCACAGACAAGATCATGAATACAAAAAAAACCCCCACTGCTTTAGTCATTTCACTCCTAGGAAAGAGTTGTTAAATACGACCTCGGTCTGAGGGGATATTCGGACCCTCCTGATTTGGTTTTGTTTTGGAGGCTCACGTAATAATGTGGGCATGTTTCCCCTTGGGCTAAGGCGCTGTCTGCAGCATGTGTGTGCAAAGGACAAAACTATGCGTAAGACCTGTCCAAATGTTTCTGAAACAGCTTCTTAAAACTTACCTGTTTCCCTAGCAGTATAAACAAAAAGAAATTTTGGAAGAGTTGAGTGATACTGTCCTGACTCTTAAAATTCATGGTTGTCCCCCATCTCTTCCACCTTAACTTTTAGATCCTTAAAATATATTTTTAAAATCTCACTGCCTTGATATAGGTGAAAAACTTTCAGTTGCCAATTATGAGAATCGGAAATGGGAATAAAGGCTAACAAATATTGGGAAGCAGATAATGCTTATTACTAGTAAATTCCAATTAGGAGCTACTAGTAAAATCCAAATAGGAGCTTACACTATTACCTAAATGTATTTTTTTATTTGTGTTTAAAGCATACAATAAGGATTTTAAAAAGTAGAAATTTTTTAATCTGTTTTGGTTTTTTTTTCCAGCTAAATACTATTTGTATGATAATTATTTTGACCTGCCAGGAGCTCTCTTATGTGCAAGGGTTGTGGACAGCTTAGATCAGGTAAGAACTGGATTGTTTGAAACTAAGTATTGCATTATCTTTCTCTTCCCCCACCACACATTATTAAATGCATACAAATAGCATATGGAACAATGTCAAGGTCTTTATCTTTTTTTCTTGTTTGGACTTAGTGTATTAAAGTTGTCTCCATAGCTAATTGTGAGCTACATGGCATGTTCAAAATAAATGTACTTCCACAAGAGGGCACAAATAATTAGGATACGAATAGAAATGCACTGTTTTCTCAAGTTTACTCTGTGATGTGCAGAATACAGTTCTTAAAATCTCCTTTAATTATACTTGATGATACTTGAATTAAATCTAATGTAAGTCTTCTGAATAACACTGTTTTCTAATTTGCAAGGTGTTAATGAGTTGAAAGCTTAATTCCACCCTTTTTTAAACTTGTTTTTATATTAAATATATTGATCTGTGTACACAGGTGTAAATGCACCTCTAGAATAGTATCCAATTTTTTTTCTCTGCTAAATTCTCAAAGTGAAAAATACAATTGCTTGAACCTTTTTTGGTGCTTTTTAGATAGAAATAATGTCCTAAATCCTATCTTTGAAGTTTGATGCTAATTGATTTGGTTGTGTTAAAGAAGGCTTGAATCTTTAACTTGTGTGCAGCTGGGGGTGGGAGAGGGTTCTTCTCATACAGTAAGTATATTGGTGTCAAAAGAGTACTGATGTAATCTTCTGGCTCAAGGTACCAAATCACTGTGGCACTGAAAATTGCAAAAACTAAACTTTGTCTGCAGAGTGAAATTCAGAGCTGTGAGATGGGTATCTGGGATCTTTTTGGGTATCAGCTGACTTGATGCTTTAGCCTCCGCTCCAAAATAGCATGCTGAGTAGATTGCTGCCTAAGTCCAAGTGCTGCATGAAGAGTTAGATAAAGTGAGCTTATCAGGAAGCACTGAGGCCAGGTGCACCGTAAGACTCTTAATTTGTGCCTGGTTAATCTCCTTCCTCTACTGTTTGCAGCTTGGAAACCTCTCTCAGATGTGACACCTGTATTGTATTACTTTATTTTATATTTAATCTAGACTCAGCACAAAACACCTACTTCTTGAGAGAGAAAGCATATTACAGCATGCATGTAATAAGCTTGCACTTTCAGTTACCAGTTTGCAAGCTGGAACACTGACCCTGGATCAGTGGTGTCTTCAGACAGAGAGAATTAAACCCCTGCCATTTCTCCAGGTAGCTACCAGAAGTGGATCGTGCATCCTCTCTGTCAGCTAGCAGCTCTTGAATATTTTACTGGATGTTGGCCCAGTTTAAACAGGAGGGCCACAGGAATTCCCTGGGATGTTACCATCAACCAGATGAGAAAGATGCAAAGCAGGAGGTGGTAGGCTTCTCCAGCACTCATGCCTGCATCCTGAGGGTTAGAAACCATCACATTTTCTTCTTCCGTGCTTCTGAAAGAAAGTAGAGGCTTCTGTTTCCTGTTCTGGGAGCCTGTTTAGTAAGGGTCTTTTTTCTTATTTTCAGAAAACATTCTAGGATCAGGAACACTTCCTGTTGGAAACAGATGGGAGAACTCCTAGGTTTGGATTCAAAACGGGTTTAGATTAGACATGAGTTGGATGCTGGGCTGCTCTACACTGTTAAGAATGAATCTGTATCAGGAACGGTGTGGCCAGCAGGAGCAGGGAAGGGATCGTGCCCTGTACTCAGTGTTGGTGAGGCTGCACCTCGAATACTGGGTTCAGTTTTGGGCCCCTCACTACAGGAAAGACGTTGTGTTGCTGGAACATGTCCAGAGGAGAGCAACAAAGCTGATGAGGGGTCTGGAGCACAAGTCTGATGAGGAGCAGCTGAGGGAACTGGGGTTGTTTAGTCTGGAGAAGAGGAGGCTGAGAGGAGACCTTATCGCCCTCTACAACTACCTGAAAGAAGGCTGTAGTGAGGTGGGGGTCGGCCTCTTCTCCCTGGTAACAGATGATAGGACGAGGGGAAATGGTCTGAAGTTGCACCAGGGCAGGTTTAGGTTGGACATCGGGAAAAATTTCTTCAGCAAAAGGGTTATCAGGCACTGGAACAGGCTGCCCAGGGAAGGGGTGGAGTCCCCATCCCTGGAGGTATTTAAAAGACGGGTAGATGAGGTGCTTAGGGACATGGTTTAGTGGTGGGATGTCAGGGTTAGGTTAACGGTTGGACTCGATGATCTTAAAGGTCTTTTCCAACCTAAACGTTTTTATGATTCTATGAATCTGGTTTTGGTGTGTCCAGAGCCAGAACTCTTACATATTTCCAGACAAAGCAGAGGAGCTTCTTAGTGTTTCAGATCTTCGCGTTGAAGCTCTATACCAAATACTTCTTTGTCAGATACTTCAGCTAATGAAACTGCATTTGATAATCCCTGCCAAAATCTTGATGGACTGCATGGGCACGCACAGTTTTCTCCCTGTTTTCTCGGAATCAGTCTTTTTTCTTGTATGTCTCATATGCAATGGCTGTAGATTTGCAAGGAATTAGTTTGACAGTTATTTTAGTCTTCTCTGAGGTCAAATGTTTTGAAGGAAGTGTAGCCACTTTTAAAGTAGTATCCATCTGTCCTCAGAACAGCACTCTGCAGAACTGTTAGCTCATTGCACTGAAGTTTTTGAAAGAAATGAACAAAAAAAAATCCCAACCCCCAAATTAAGGAGCAAGTCAACCACATGGAGTATGAGACGAGCAGACAGTTGAATCCCTCTGTCCCAAGGTTAGTGCGAGCGCAGGATACTGCCATTGCTGCTAGGCAGATAGGTGTTCCCCAGCTTCTCCTGAACATGGCTTTGAATTATGACCTTGGTAGCAGCTAACTCAAGTTTGACATATATGGAAGCTTTTCTCTCTTAGTCCTTTTATGTATTTCTCTGTCAGTTTGCTATAGGAATGGATTAAAAAAAAGTTAAAAGCCAGAGCATTGTATCTTTCTTGCTCTTAACCTGTAGAGCCAGTGGGTGATAAGCAGACTGCTGTAGTACTTGTCAGTCATGCACAAAAGGCCTTGTTTGTGTGACTTGCTTGTTGTAAATTAAGGGCAGACCATTCTTCTGGAAGCCTCCATGGCAGATTGGCCTGAAATAGCAGTTTACTTCAGTACATATAAACTACATGGGTTTGGCTGGTGATGTTAAAGGGTGCTTCCCCCGCCCCCCCCCCC